TGTCACCAACGATAAGAGAAATGGTGACCCATCATTGATGTTAGTGGGAGGAATATTACCTTCTCATTGGTATCGGTGGGAGGAATAGTGCCCCATCGTTGGTGTCGGTGGGAGGAATAGTGCCCCATCGTTGGTGTCGGTGGGAGGAATAGTGCCCCATCGTTGGTGTCGGTGGGAGGAATAGTGCCCCATCGTTGGTGTCGGGTGGGAGGAATAGTGCCCCATCGTTGGTGTCGGTGGGAGGAATAGTGCCCCATCGTTGGTGTCGGTGGGAGGAATAGTGCCCCATCGTTGGTGTCGGTGGGAGGAATAGTGCCCCATCATTGGTGTCAGTGGGGGGAGGAATAGTGCCCCATCGTTGGTGTCGGTGGGAGGAATAGTGCCCCATCGTTGGTGTCGGTGGGAGGAATAGTGCCCCATCGTTGGTGTCGGTGGGAGGAATAGTGCCCCATCGTTGGTGTCGGTGGGGGTAATAGTGCCCCATTGTTGGTGTTGGTGGGAGGAATGTTACCTTAATACCTTGAAATAGGGAATTATTCACTCCCATTAACTCCAGGACATTTTCTACTCCCACTGCCCACAGTCTGACCCCCCCTAAAGTCTGAAGAACCGCAAACTGGCCCTTTGTTTAGGAAGTTTGGAGACCCCTGCCCTACAGTAGACGGGGTTCTATTGTTTTGCGCGGTGCTGTCAGTCTTCCATTGTGAGCATGGTTACAGGAGAGCAACCTCATCATTGTGGCTGAGTCCTTGACCAGCCTGTACCATACTTACCTGCACTAGAGGTCAGGGACCAGGCTGCGCTCTCTGAAAGACGTGCCTAGATCTGCAGAATTACAAAATCTAGCGAGCCAGAAAGCTCACAAGTGTGCAGCTTAGATTTGAAACAAGTACACTCCTGCTTCTCCATATTTAATCGCTTCCAAAAAAAAATCTTTGGCCGTGTTGGAAAAGTTTTGCCATATGTGAAAAATTCAAAAGGGTGGGGAGAGCAGCAGCTGAACCTTCTGCTCAATTGTTGGACTTCTTATTTATCAAAGTTGTGGATATATCTGCTGTGTATGGCAAGATGGATGCCGGGACATGCAATTGTCCCTTCCACTGTGTTTGTTACTCTATCTATAATATATATCGATATGTAGATATATAATAGGAAGCACAATGGGTTTTTCAGGAATGGTTTGTGGTTGATTGGTACCCATGGGGGGGGGAGGGGGTCATATAGCTCCTGCATGTTAAGATAAAGCCTTTCCTGGATAAATCGCCATATCTCATCATATAGACCACCTAGTGAAATTTTGTGTTCTTCTAGCAATTGAGGGGATCTCTCGTGTGGGCAATTCACATATAGAAAAAGAAAATTTCTGTAATTCTAATAATGGAATGCTTAATTGACTCTAGATGGGGCCGCGTTGACTCTAGATGGGGCCGCGTTGACTCTAGATGGGGCCGCGTTGACTCTAGATGGGGCCGCGTTGACTCTAGATGGGGCCGCGTTGACTCTAGATGGGGCCGCGTTGACTCTAGATGGGGCCGCGTTGGCTCTTCATGGGGCCGCGTTGGCTCTTCATGGGGCCGCGTTGGCTCTTCATGGGGCCCTGTTGACGCTTCATGGGGCCCTGTTGACTCTTCAGTATCCAGGGCTCCCAGCTCCATGCAGCTTTCTGCTACAGATCGAGAGATTAGATAGCCACAATGATGACTTTCTATGGAAGCCTATCCTCAAAAATGACTTGTCCGCTATATAAGGCCTCCTTTACACTTGTGTTTGGAGGGGCAGTAAAAACATACGGCTGAGTTGGGGTTTTACCAAACGCCAACCACGCTTCCCCTTAAGCCACAAAGAATGGAAGAGAATTCAATCAAATGAATGTTGCTGTCTCACAACCACTTTCAGTGCACATTTAAAGGGTTAAAATAAGCGCTGAGTAGGTGACGTGATGCCTCTTCACTGCCTGTCAAATGTCCTCTGAAGAGTGATCCAACACAGATTGCTTTTTATAGGAAACACAAGTGTAAAGGAGCCCGAACAGTCCGATTTGGCTTGTGACAGATTTACTTTGAGAATGAATGGAGCCCATTACAGTTTAAAAGGTTACAAGAAATACAGGGGGGAGGGGGGGGGGTTAGTAAGTGCAGTCCTCAGCACATATTTACTTTACCACAACACTGAAATATAAATGGGCCCTGAAGGTAATTTTTGTTAGTATGAAGAGCTGAGAAGGGATCTGCATTCTGTATAAATCTGGATTTTTTTTTTTAAAAATGTTAACAATAGATAGATGGACTTAGTTGTGGCTTATGCTCAGGGGCGGACTGACCATTTGGAAACTCTGGCACTGCGCGAGGGCCCAGGGTCAGTAGGGGGCCCCATGAGATGCCCCTGGTACTTTTTTCATAGGCTTTTTTGAGTTTGGGCAAGGACACAGGGGCCCCATGATCCCCTATTGCCCGGGGGCCCCATGAGTTGTCAGTCTACCCCCTGCTTATGCTTTTTCCTTTTAAAAAGGGGACCTGTCATGACAGAAGTATGGGAGCTGCCAATGCTAACTGCAGGCCCCTGTACTGTTAATTCTTATCCATGACTCTTTAGGGCTCATTTGAGCAGTTACATGGGACTCTGATTTTTTTTTTTTTTTTTTTTTGTGATGTAGAAGCACTGAACCTTATGGAGATGCACTAGGGTGGTTTATGGTCCTAGAGTCTGCTCACCAGCAACTGTGGGGTCTCTCCGGACCCCCAGGGGAGATTGACATTTTGAAATAATGGGAGCTCCACACTAGCTTGTAAAGACTTTTATTTTGTAAAAGCCATCACGTTTCAGGGGCTCAGCACTCCTTCATCGGGGCTAAAAGCTAGATAACATAGGCACCTGGATTGGAAAAGCTTTTTCCAATATAGGTGTCTACATTCTGTTTTTTTTTAGCCCTGATGAAGGGGAGTGCTGAGCTCCTGAAACGCGTTGCCTGTTACAAAAGTCTTAAAAGCTCTATAGAAACTAGGGTGGAATTCCTATCCTTTCACAATTTCATGGGACTTGACCAATCCTGGATGGGGACAATTTTCATCCATGGACAGCTTATGGTTGCATACAAATCTGCAGCAGCTGATTGTCCCGTTTGATTGTGGTCCTACCACAGAGTACTATGAATACTGCAGCCTAACCTCTCACTATTGCCCATCTGGATCAGCTTAGTTGTCCAATATGTACGCGGTTTTGTTCCAGCTCACTCATTCCCCCATCAGCAAAAGGATAAGTAAGATGGCGCCCATGTTTGCCAACAGGTTCCCATAAACGCTATGCTAACACGTGCCCCCCCCCCCCCCCGTTGCTTTTATTGTTTTGTAAAGAAGTCGTCAATATGGAATTTTCTGCTACCTAGCAATTACCAATCTGAGCCCCCTACCTTTTTTATACGTTGACTTACCTTTTTCCCTCCCCCCACCCATATATGAAATGATATACTTTGGATGGAGGGGCTAATTCACTACTCCTCACCCAAGGCTTTTGCACAGAGGTGTACAAGCAAAACAAAAAGTACCGAATTACTTGGTAAAATGGAGAGAACCCACCAATCCTTATCTTAACGTTCATCAGGAACAAGCTTACAAAATGGCCGCCGGCTGGTTGGATTTGAGACAATCGTATCCATTGCAGTAGAAGTCACGTTGTGCACTGGATCAGATAGGAACGCATTGACTGTTTTGTGACTCCATTCCTTCACAGTTGGAGTAGCTTTCAGCACAACTTGGAGGCTCATTTTACACCAGCAGTGCAGAGATTAAATTATCATGTAAATGGTTTGTGAACCACTTTCCCCGGAAATGCCTGATGTCTGCACAGCGAGGAACGGTGGAAGTGAGTGTGTTTGTCTTTCAGATCAATGTAAACCTTAACAAAGCAACATAAAACCTGCTTTTAAACTTAAGCTGTCTGTGTTTTGTTATTTGGTGAACTGGTTGGCAGAAAGGTAATGAAGAATTGTTGGGTTATTCCTGCACCCTTCTGTAGGATGAAATACGTGAGGGTCATCAGGTAGGGGGCTTTCTATAATAGGTGAACTTATCTCATATCTGGGCCTTTTAGGATACCCTAAACCAACCTCTCTCATCCTCTTTACTCTAGAACAGCCTTTCTCAACCTCTTTACCCCAAAGGAACCCTTGCAATAATTTTCAGGTTTTAGGGAACCCCTTCTAAGATTAGTCCGTTGGTGGTCACTAGGAAAGTGCCACTGACATTGGTGGAGGTAAGTGGGAAAATTCCAAACCCCCCCCCTTACAGTGATAGCTATGGCTCTGCCAAATGATGTTGGGCCTAGAATTATGGGAGGTTAGTTAGCCACAGCTCAAGGAACCCTTAGCCACTTCTGGAGGAACCTTGGTTGAGCATGGTTACCCTAGAGGGAATTTTAAAATAATTTTCAGGTCTCCGGAAACCCCTGATAAAATCAATTGGGGTCATTAAGAAAATGCCCCATATGTTGATGGTCAGTAGTAAGAATGCTCCTGTTACAGATACCTAAAAAGATGATGGGCATCATGTTCCTGGCTCTGCCAAATGATGTTGGGCTGAGAACTATGGGAAGTTAGTTAGCCACAGCTCAAGGAACCCTTAACCACTTCTGGAGGAACCTGAATTGAGAGTGGCTGCCCTAGAGGAAATATTAAAATAATTTTCAGGTCTCTGGAAACCCCTGCTAAAATCAATTTGGGGTCATTTAGAAAATGCCCCATACGTTGATGGTCAGTAGTAAGAATGCTCCTGTTATAGATACCTAAAAAGATGATGGGCATCATGTTCCTGGCTCTGCCAAATGATGTTGGGCTGAGAACTATGGGAAGTCAGTTAGCCACAGCTCAAGGAACTCTTAGCCACTTCTGGAGGAATCTTGGTTGAGAATGGCTGCCCTAGAGGAACCCTTGAAATAATTTTCAGGTCTCTGGAAACCCCTGATAAAAAAAAATTAATTGGAGTTATTTGGAAAATGCCCCTATATGTTGATGGGCACTGGTAAGAATGCCCCTCTTACAGTCATACCTCTGGCTCTGCCAGATGATGTTGGGCCTAAAACTTTGCAGGCACCATCACATGGGAGGCCACTTAGCCACAGCTCAAGGAATCTCTAGTCACTTCTGGATGAACCCAAGGGTTCCTTGGAACTCTGGTTGAGAATGGCTGCCCTAGAGGAAATCTTAAAATTATTTTCAGGTCTCCGGAAACCCGTGATAAAATCAATTGGGGTCATTGGGAAAATGCCCCTTTCATTGATGGTCAGTAGTAAGAATGCCCCATTCCAGATACCTAAAACAATGATGGGCATCATGTTCCTGGCTCTGCCAAGTGACATTGGTCCCAGAACTATGCAGGCACCATCAGTTAGCTACAGCTCAAGGAACCCACATCAACCTCTGAAGGAACTCTGTTGAGAAGGGCTACCCTAAGCTATTCCAAATCTGTCTCCTAAAATTTGAAAATCATGATTAGTGGAGTTGATTGTGAAATAGAGGGTGTGGAAACAATTTTCTTCAACTTATAGCTCTTTTATTAGTGATCTTCATCCTGCAATCCATTGGTTGTTGTAAAAGGTCTCAGGATGCAGGGCCTTCTCACTGCATCCAGGACCCGCTATATGCAGATTGCCCGTGGGTGTCAGAACACAGAGCATTCTGAATACTTGCAATATACAGTATATTAGGCACTGCTGGGCCAAGTAATCTCCTGCCCCATGGTGCCTGCATAATTCCAGGTGTGATGTCATCCAACCAACAGAGGAGCAGCATGGGAATTTCAAAAATAAGTGCTGCTGGATACCAGTGCTTGGAGGAGGCTGTCCTAATCCTACTGACACCAATGACTGAGCATCATTCCTTGCACTGACACCAATGATCTGGCACCATTAGTGACAAGGATCAGCCACCATTTCTCCCACTGACCCAAAGGATGAGGCACCATTACTCTTGCTGCCACCGAGCATTGGGTACCATTACTGACAACAGGGATCACGCACCATTCCTCTCAATGCTCCAAAGGATGAGGCATCATTACTCTCACTGACAACTAGGATTGGGCACCTTTACCTACAACAGTGATCAGGAACCATTCCTCCTACTGACCTAAAGGATGAGGCACCATTACTCCCTCTGACACCAAGCATTATTTATTTCAGGTACTTATATAGCGCCATCAATTACGCAGCGCTTTACATATATATTGTACATTCACATCAGTCCCTAACCCTCAAGGGGCATACAATCTAAGGTCCCTAACTCACATTCATACATACACATGCTAGGGCCAATTTGGACAGCAGCCAATTCACCTACCAGCATGTCTTTTGGAGTGTGGGAGGAAACCGGAGAAAACCCACGCAGGCACAGGGAGAACATGCAAACTCCAGGCAGGTGGTGCCGTGGTTGGGATTCGAACCAACGACCCTAGTACTGCCAAGCTGAAGTGCTAACCATTTAGCCACTGTGCTGCCCCTATACCCAACAAGATCCATCACAGTTGCCCTTTGTCCACATACTTATACATATTATCCAGGCACATAGATCGAACATCTCTATTCAAGACACACCATTATGGAGAACAGTGATCAGGCATCAGTCCTCCCACTAACTCAAAGGATGAGGCACCATTACTCTTGCAGACACCAAGGATTGGGCACCATTACTTCCACTGACACCAAGCATTGGGCACCATTATGGACAACAGTGATCAGGCATCAGTCCTCCCACTGACTCAAAGGATGAGGTACCATTACTCTCACTGACACTAAGGATAGGACATCATTATTCCCTCTGGTACCAATAATGGGGCACCATTCATCCCCATGGACTATGAATTGGTCCTTTCTAAGGAGCCCTTTTGTAGATGAGTAAAAATCCCAATAATTTTATGACTGACTTGGAATGTTTCAGGCATTCTAAAAGTCCCGCATATGATATATACTGTACTGGTAATAGGTCAGACATAAGAATTCATATATTACATGTGAAGATTTATAGGGTATTTTACACCAAATGTCCAAATTAAAATGTGAGCTTCCCTCTCTGGCTTGTTGAGTGTTCCAGTTCTGATGGTGCTTTTCTTCCGCAGTTGGTGAGTCCCTGGCCTGGACCAACTATGTCCATATCAGGTGTGGTAATGAGCAAATATCCCCACCTTTATGGATATATCTATTTATATACTGACACAAGGTTTGTAAACTGAAATCTACACGAAGCTGATTAGGGTGTGTATATATACATGGTGCATTCATAAAGTATTCAGACCCCCTTCACTTTTTTCAATGTTATGTTGCAGCCTGACATATTTATATAAATTCTTTTTTCTCATTATTCTACACTCAGTACCCCATAAAGACAAAGTAAAAACAGAACTTTAGAAATATTGACAAATTTATGGAAAACAAAAAACTGAAACATCACATTGGCATAAGTATTCAGACCCTTTACAACAACACTTGAAGTTTAGCTCAGGTGCCTCCCATTCCTCTTGATCGTTGCTGAGCTGTTTCTACACCTTGATTGGAGGCCACCTGGGGTAAATTACATTGATTAGACATAATTTGGAAAGGCACACACCTCTCTTGTGCCTCGAGCCTCACAGTTGACAAGGCATGCTGTATCAGAGCAAAAGCCATGAGGTGAAAGGAACTGCCTCTAGAGCTCAGAGACAGGATTATTTAAAAGCACAGACTTGGGGAAGGCTACAGAAAAAAAGTCTGCTGCACTGAAGGTTCTTAAGAGTACAGTGGCCTCCATAATCCTCAAATGGAAGACGTTTGGCACAACCAGGACTCTTCCCAGAGCTGAGCGGTCGCCCAAATCCAGTTGGCACAACTCTTCCCAGAGCTGAAACAGCATCGAGGGAGAAGGGCAGAGCGGTGACCAAGAACCCGATGGTCACCTCAAATGGAAGACAGTTGGCACAACCAGGACTCTTCCCAGAGCTGGTTGCCCATCCAAACTGAGAAATCCAAATTAGAAGGGCAGAGCGGTGACCAAGAACCCGATGGTCACCTCAAATGGAAGACAGTTGGCACAACCAGGACTCTTCCCAGAGCTGGTCGCCCATCTAAACTGAGCAATCAAGGGAGAAGGGCCGATGGTCACTCTGAGCTCCAGAGATCCTGTGTGGAGATGGGACAAAGTTCCAGAAGGACAACCCTCACTGCAGCCCTCCACCGATCTGGGCTTTATGGCAGAGTGTCTGGATGGAAGGTTCTCCTCACATGAAAGCCTGCTTGGAGTTTGCAAAAGCTTTTTTTTTTTTTTCCCCAGACGTGACGGGGTTATTTTAAAGGAAGGAGTGCTGTAATCTTTATTTGCATTTAAAATAGATAAGAATCCCAAGTTAAAGTCCAACTCCGGGTCTATTGATTTTTACATTGTTAGGCTATTATTTTCTCTAACTGCTGTTAAAGCAGACATTTTTAATGGGGCAGCATACTGGCCAAATGGTTAGCACCTCTGCCTGGCAGCACTAGGGTCATTGGTTCAAATTCCAACCACGGCACCACCTGCCTGGAGTTCACACGTTCTCCCTGTGCCTGTGTGGGCCTCCCCCAGGCACCCCAGCCTCCCCCCAAAGACATGCCGGCAGGCCAATTGGCTCCTGTCCAAATTGGCCCTGGTATATGTATGGATGTGAGTTAGGGACCCTTGATTGTACGCTCCTTGAGGGTCAGGGACATATAAGTACCTGAAATAATAGTAACGTATTATAATCCTTTTCTATTGGTGTCAGTGAGTGCTTCCAGAATGTACAGGGGAGCTGGCTCCCAGTCACATTGGAACTGGGTCTGTTAAAGTCTGGGTCCGATCTGGTCTTCGGGTCCCCAGTGCTGCCATGTTGACTGTGGGAAACTGGCAGTGCCTCCCTGCAGCTCCACAGCTGACTCCCCACTGCGCATGCACAAGTCGTGCTACGCTCTGTGAATGGTCCTGCAGCCTCTGGGACCTTTGACGAATGCAGTGGGAGTGGGGACCTGTCTCCCTAAAGAAAAATCCAATACACACCCGAGGGAGGGGGATTGGCATAATCAGTGGAACTTCCTTTAGTAAGTGAGGTTCCCCTTAAAAGTAGAAGTAATGGCAAAGGTTTTTTTTTTCATTTTGGATGGGGGGGGGGGTTATAACCCTCTCATAGGGGAGATTTCCCTTCATTTCCTATCCCATAACCAAATCAGGAAGTCCCCAAAGTGAGGGAAATCCCTGGTTGTCACCAGAACTAGTGTCCCCATTGGAAGATTTCTCCTCTATTCCTGTTGTACTGTAAACACACAATTTGGAATTTTCTTTTACTCTTGGTGATGACAGTAAACAGGACAGTGGGGACACAGACAATAAAACCTGCCAGGGGTTCCTATCCCTCTCCACTCTATCCACAACAACAAAAATCAAGTTGTGCCTTAGGTACACTTTAAATTTCAGACCAGGTCAGCCATTATTGCTGAACTTTGAGTTACTGAGACGTAATAGCCTTACAGATAAGCAGGCACTTAAAGTGGAACTCCACCCAAAAGGGGAAGTTCTGCTTGTTTGCATCCTCCCCCCTTCTTCTTTACTAATTGACACTTTTTTGGGGGGAGGGGCAGGGGGAGCGGGTACCCACTCCCACTTCAGCTCGGATCGCTGAGGTAGTTCCCCCAGTCTTCTGGGACACATCACAGGTCCCAGAAGACTGCGGGACCATTCACAGAGCGATGCGCGCATGCGCACTGGTAAACCAGCTGTGAAGCCGCAGGACTTTTTTGCCGGATTCCCTTAGTTAAGATGGCAGCACCTGGACCCCGAAGCTGATTAAAGAATCAGCTTAGGTAAGCGCAGCACTGAATTCCTGGACAGGTAAGTGTCCTTATATTACAAAAACCTTTCATTTTTTGCGGGACCATTTACAAAGTACAGAGCGACGCGCATGCGCAGTGGTAAACCAGCTGTGAAGACGCAGGGCTTTTCTGCCGGATTCCCTTAATAAGATGGCAGCACCTGGACCCGAAGCTTGAA